GATGGATTGTGATAAGAGTTGTACAAGCCTCCAATAAAATGATTAAATTTAAAAAATGAAAACTGATTGCATGAATCCTGATTTGCTCTACATGTTCACAACAGTAAAAAATATGTACCACATCAGAAACTTAGGAAAGAAATGCCTCTCAGACAAAATTAACAATTCTGGGAAGACTGCTTCCACAGATATGACAAAAGGCTAATACTAACTAAATGCTGGAAAAGGGAAACTAAGATAATCTGGAATAGCTACCACTACTTAAAATAATTTCTATTATTTTATCCACAACTCCACTCTAGAACACACAAGGCTATTTGTAACCACCAGACCTAAATTACTAATGAAATCAGGTATGTAAAATTTACTAGTTAAATTTAAGTTCTATGTTCTCAATTATTGTTAATGTGATTCAAAAGACTACTTTCTCCTATGAACTTAAATGTAGTGGATAGGGATGATGGCATATTTAATGGCCAATATTAACATAAGTCTTCAAAGACAGGGAAGTAGGTTAACAAGAACCTTTTATGTTCACTATGCTGCTGCTTAACGCTCAACATATCCTTAGTCTTTTAACATATGCAATACACATGTAACCAAGACCAACTAGGGTTATGGAACTAAAATACCCTTTCATTGGAACATTCATCTAAAATATGATTTTCTGGTCTGTGCACGGCAAAGCCACATCGTAGTGTGAATAGGTAGTAGGGAAATGAAGTTGTTCTCCAGTTTTAGATTCAATATTTCTTAAAATGAAAACTCACCCAGGCAGAGAAAATATCCTGGAAATGAAACAACCAGAACACAAGGAAAAGACTGAGACAGTCTCAGTCACTGAACTATTTATCAAACGGAAACCTAATTTGCTCTATAACCTTTTACTGAAAACACAATCAAATATGAGGCACTTCAGAGTGTACAGGAAAATTCCATTATTGTTTCATTCTACTTTTCTACAATTTTTTTTGAGGCACCATATTTTTGTTTTGTTTTTTTTTTCTTTTCCATCATATTTTTTTTAAAAAAATACTCACCAGCAGCTTTTTTGTGACAAGAAATAGCCTCTTCGTATTTCCCTGTAGCTAATAAGCGGTCTGCTCTTCTGCTCTGTTGATGAGCCTGGAAGACAAATATTTCCAAACTCCTCTGAATTTTAAAATAAAACATAAAGAAAACATTGTTTTAAAAAAATAAGCAATGCTATTTATTGCTCTACATCAGTGTATCCACCTACCCCCATCCACTGCCCGACCCTCTTACAGATAGGTCAGTTCTACTTTTTAAAGTTTTCATTATTATTGCCTTTTATTATCAGTATCTTTATAAATCTGATCCTTATCTCTTGGGATTGGACACATTACATAAACTTACAAATTATATATAGAGAGAACTAAAGGCCAAGCTTGTCGCCATCAAGTTGATGCTATTCAGACTCACTGTACAGCACCCCTACAAATTTTCCAGGCCTGTAATCTTCACAAAAGCCGACTTTCTCTTCCAGGAGTTAGTGGGTTCAAACTGTCAACTCATTTTGGGTGGCAGCCAAGTGCTTAGCCACTGCATCCCCCAGGAATGCCTGTAATACATATTTTGTTCTGGCTGCTGTTGTTAGGTGACATCGCAGGAGTTCCTATTCATCGTGCCAACAGAATGAAACACTGCTTAGTCCTTACTTATCTTACAATCACTGCTGTTGTGGAGTCAGTCCTCTCTTGCAGCCAGTTTGTGTCAACCTATCTCTTTGAAGGTATTCCTCTTTGTCCCTGACCCTCTCTAGGTATCTATAGTTGTGAGACAAAAGCCACTGTCCTTGTTTCCAAGACCTATCGTAGCTATACTTCCTCCAAGGGAAACTTGATCATTCTTCTGGCAGTCGGTGGTTCATATAAACATTTCCCCCACTATAGCACCATAATTCAAATGCATCAATTCTTCTTTAGTCTTTCTTGTCTAGCTGTTGCATGCACATTAGGGTGATTAAAAATACCATGGTTTGTGCAGCTGTGTCA